ACCAAGATCCATGGGATTAATTTCAAGATCCATGGGATATAATTATTAGAATCAATTAGAATAAATAACTTTCCTCTTCTGCTTATTATAATTAATTATATTAAATGTCTTTTTTTTCTATTTATTCTCCTAAAGTGTAGATAAAAGAAATGATTCCAAGGAATTGTAAAACCCGAAAACTGTCAATCGGATGCGTCACATGCATTTCGATGCGTCGCGATGAATTTAGGCAAAATTTTAAAGTCGTCGGAATTCAACGTAATAAATTTAATTAAATTTTACACGAAATTTCGATCGAAACGATATAAAGAATGTATACCCAATTTCGCACAATTTGGAAATTAAAAATCGTCGAAGATGTTTCAGTAAATTTTAAACCTTTATACTTGTTTTGCCCTTCATGAGTTAGTAGGGAAGAATTTGGGAGAGGGGCACGTGTCTTTTCTCTACCCAACACCCTTAAGACTCTAAGGGACCGAAATAATCAGTCCCTACTCCCTTGTTTATTTCTTCGGCCAAGAGAGAGGAGAAGCGGGCGGAAGAGAGGAAGAGGCGTCGGGTGCTTGCGAAATGTGGTGGCTGGCAGCGGTTTCCGACGGGCTTTTGGAGGAAAGTAGTAGGGAAAGGTTAAGGAAGATGAAAGGTAAGTTTTAAACTTAAAAATCTTATTCTTTCACCTAGATTTTCATGAATAAAAAATTTAGGGTTTTGCCTTTGATGGAGCTTTCTTTAGAAAAGTGGTAGGACTTGTTTAGAAGCATGCTTCTAAGTCATAAAAATGGAATTTCCTCAAAGATTTTCAAGTTTTCAAAATTTAGGGTTTCTCCAATTTGAATTATTTTTATAAGGAATGTTAGAAGAACATAGGAGAATGAATTGTATGAAGGAAAATGTAATTTTTCTTCCAGAATTTTAGATTTTAAAAATTAGGACTTTTTCAAAACTAGGGTTTTTGAACTAGGTTGTGAACAAAAGTTATTCTTAAGAGTCATGAGAGATCTCTAATTAAGAGAAATTGGAATTTTGATAAAAAAATATTTTTCATAATTTCTACATTATTTTAAATCCGAAAATTAGCTTTTAAATTTCATTTTTTTTATTAAGGAAATTGTAGATTTTGGGTATGTTAATGACCATTCATACCTATATGTTTATGAACATTCATAATTATATGATAAACAAATGTTTTAGGGTATAGGTAGGTTAATGAGAATTAATGAGCTTAAAGAGAGAAATTACTAATGGCATGTGTAGAGTTATTCAGGGATAGTGAGGTATAATTGTTTTGGATTTGTATAAGAAAACTTATGTTGTAAATTCTTCACTTAGGTCTTGTAAAAAGGAGGTATTAAGGAGAGATCGGTGAAACGACACTTTCAAGGAGCAATATTTGAGGTAGGAACACCTTACTCTACAAATCCATATTGTATATTCTATTTTGAAATGTCTCATTAGTTGATAACTTGATATATATTACATGCATATGAAATATTTTTATTAATTGATAGAAATGTATATTAAATGTTTCTATGAATTAATACATATTTGATGTTCTCAAGCATATTAAAGTTCTCATTATTTGATAGTAAGCAATGCATAGAAGTTTCTTTTATGTAAACTTGTCTTATACTCAATGCATATGAATGATATGAAAATGCTACACTATCTATTTTTCTATGAAAAGAATGAGTGAATGATTGTGCATGTTGAAGACGGAGTACCAAATATGGTGCAAAAGCATAAATACGGCTCTTATGAGCAATATGACCCTTTGGGACAAAAGAGGAAAGGAAGATAAATGGCCAACAATATGTTAGTGTACCTGATCAGTACACTTTTGGTATTCTGGTACGATTGTATAAGATAAAAGAATAAGCAAGCATGGATATAAGACATATGACCTAGTTGAAAATATATAAATATGAACTAACATATCACACTTAGCATATACATAAAAACTAGCATGTGATACTTACCAAAACAATCATGACATTTCACTTTTAGCATACATGTTAATTTTCATTTAAATGACATATGAACAAGTTAGAGTTAGTGTTTCCTATTGAGCTCTAGCTCATTTTCTGATTTTGAGATATTTTCAGGAGAACCCGCTGCTAAGAATGGCTGACCGCCCTTGGTACACCTACAATCATAGAGGATCGGATGACAGATTCCTCTTATGTATTTTTTTTAGTTGTAGTTTACTTTTTGGGGTGGTTTGGCAAGAATGATAGATTTTATAGCCACCTTTGTATATGTGAATCTTCTTATAAAATGACATGAAATGTTTAATCTAATTTGAAAGTTATTTAGAGGCGCTTTAATTCCCTTTTGAAGTCTTTTAGATTATTCAATGCATGATTTAGGATAATTTCATGTTTTGAACGTCTGACATGCGTTCTCACCTCATCTATACGAGCTCACCGGGCCGGATCGTGATAGGAATAAGATTTGAATTCAATTTCTCTAAACAATGTCTTCAATAATCAACCATAAAATAGTATCCAGACCATTTTATTACAATGAGAAAATAAAAAAATAACAGTTGAGTAGCCTATTTTATACAACCCAGCTGAATTTTATAGACTTAATATGTGAGTCTTCAAGCCTAGACTATTAATGCGTCCAGAGCTTCACTTTAGAGTTCAACTTTCAAGTTCATCGTTTTTTCAGCTATATTCCACAGACCTACATGATTTTTTAAATATATGAATTATATTTGAAAAGAAAAGAAAAAAAGTCTATTCCTATAAATCAAATGTTAAGAAGAATTTAGTATATATAAACGTCACACAGATTGCTTGGCACTTATAGTGCAAAGCTGATTTTCACCGTGTTGGTCATGCCTACTCAGGACTTTTAACTTATAAAAGTACTTGCAAGCAAATTCTATTAGATGATAATTATTTAATTATTTTTCAGCATAGCCACCTGCATGAAAAAAAATAGATATTTCTATCCTAATACTTAGTGTTAGTGCCAACAATACAAACAATTCATCACATTTCACACCAAAAAACTACATGCGCAAAAAAGGAAAAATCATAATCTTACGATGCCGAAGGAGCTGTGCAACTAAAGTGTGCTAGCCCTTATGATTGTCACACTATTATTTGAAAGATTATTTTATTGTGAAACAAGAAGAAATTTAATTTTAATTTCAGAGGTGATTTCACATTAAGTTATTTTGTGATTTAAATATTTTATTTTATTTTAAAGATATTTGATATTTTTTAAAGGGTTATGAAAAACCCATTGAATGACCAATGCTTGTTTTGAAGCAAGTTTATCATTTATGATGTCCAAGGATCCAATAATATGGGTGCTCCACCTAGGGGTGTAAGTGAGTTAAGCTGGCTCGCAAGCCGACTCAAGCTCGACTCGTTTATGGGCTCGCAAACCAAGCTTATCGAACTCACAAGTCGACCTCGAGCTCAAACTCGAGCTCGTTTGGTAAACAGCTCGAGTTCGAGCTGGAGCTGGTTCGGCTCGTGAGCTCACGACAGCTCGAATAATTATTAAATACAAATATTAAAAAAATAATACTAAATGTTATGTAAATCCTGTTGCAATTTTAAAGTTACCGCATGTATTACAACCCCAAATTTTCATGATTTCTCAAATCACGCACGCGTATTTCAAAGTTCCCTCTCACTTTCTCTTCTCTCTGACAGACTACAGCGGTCCAATAAATGATGATGTAAAGTGTTCATTTATTATAGTTGAATAATAAATGCTATTATTCATTGTGCCCTCTCTCTCTCTCTCAACAATTTTAAAAGGCCACGCAAGGCTCGACGAGTTCGGAAGGTGGCGAACCGGACTGCACCAAAGACGAGCGGCTTGAACTCGTTTACAATGGAACGAGTCGAGCTTGAGCTCGACTTTTGAGCTAGACTCAAGTTCGATCTCGAACTTGAGCTCGGTATTTGACAGTTGAGCTCGACTCGAACACCCCCTTGACTCGAGTTCGACTGACTCATTTGCACCCCTAGTTCCACCCTTTGAGATGAAACAACGCATCATTGCATCAAAAGAGACAAGTATTTTTTAAATGGATTTTGATAATTATCTTAGTGTTTAGATAAAAGAGAGAAGTTTGCTTATTTAAATAAAGCAAACTTACCTAAGGGTTTCACTTGGAACAGGGCTAAAAGTTACCTTTTTAACAACTTCAAATCTTAGCCATTTAAATTTTGTTATGGATGATAAAAATTGTGTTATGATAAGTGGCTCCAAACTTCTAAATGATAGTAATATATATATACACACACACATGTGTGTGTGCGCGCATGCGCGCCTAGTAAGAAATGAAAGTTAATACAATATTGAGGTTATTAAGCCCTATATGTAATGATGATAATAAAGTTGATTATGATAAGTTGTTTATAACTACAAAAATTTTGAAATCAAAATGTTTAGCCTCATTCCAATGGAATGCATCACAAAAAAATATTCAAGTTGAGTAAAGTTTCCATGTATAATATGACATGTATTGCACTAGAAAGATCATTCATTGATGAAAATTATGAACAAACTTGAGTGAAGACCTAACGTTGGTAAATAATACTTTCTCATTGCTGGAGATGAAAATCACCCATCTTGCTCTAATTGTGAGATCTTGAGATAAAAATGTAATACTAAAAAGATAGGAAAAAGGACGTATTGTTTACCTCTCTCTACTTGCATTATACATGTATTTATATAATCTGCCGAGTATATCTTAGTCTTTAAATGACTCCACATAATCAATATGACCAGTTATACAGTGTGATAAAACAAAATCTCCTCATCGGGCGACTCAAGTTTGCATCTAGCTTTTTTATGTATGCAAGAATGCCTTGAAAATAATTCAGTAATGAAAAATTTTCACAAAATTATATGGGCAACGTTACATTAAGTGAGACAGTAAAAGACAACAATGTTTTGGCCAGTGCCAACATTAAAGCCCAATAAGTAACTAATAAACCAGCATGTGGGTAAGAAATAGAATGGAATACCTGATTGTGGTAAGTCAATGTTGTTTTAGCAAACTTTTTATATGATTGAACTGCAAGGTTAGGATCAAAAACAACTTGTAATTGCTCAACATGCGGCCTAGCAACATTAGTAATCTGATCAACATAAGGCTTTGAGAACCTCCTAGCTTCCTGCAGCAAATTAACTCTCTCACCAACGAAACATAAAGAAACAATTGTCATGAGAATATAACGCCTAGGTTCCATACTTCCATTCACTAGAGTTCAATGTTGCAGCTATGTCCAGAAAACCATTAAAATTTACCAGGAAATAAGGATTCGGTAGTTCTTGTACTTTCATAATATGGGGTGCGATTTTTTTCTTGAATGTCTCATAAACTTCCATGGTTTTTGCTGATGTAAGCTGAGCATATGGTTGAACGTAGGATGTAAAGCTGAACATTCGCTCTTTCGCAACAGGGATCCATTTCTTCAAAAGACGAAAAAATATATAGATATCAGTGGGAAGCTAACTTCCCATAAGGATATTAATTTAGTAGTTCTTATGCGGAAATGCAGCCGTAAAAACTTCCATATGATTCCACAAAAAAAGGCTAGAAGATACTAGTAATATTAGAAAAATCACATTGTACATCAGCTGATGAAACTTATTGGCCAACAAACTTCAGATAACGAAAGATAGAAGATCATGTTTCGGTCTTCTTTCCCATTCTCATTTCATCAACGAACCAACAACAGCCGATGCAAGAAGACTCATGATTAGCATTTCATAATGCAACTAATACGATGTGTAGTATGATTTCATACAAAGAAAAATTAAGAATTCACTACTTACTCGTTACCAATCAATCGAAAACTCACTATCATTTAATGAAAATAAAAAAATAGAATATTTAAGACCAATTGATAATGATATAATTGTAAAAATCCAAGAATTTCAACCGGAATTTGCTACCAAATAAAACTAGCAAGCAGTGAATTAATTTTTATAAATTAAATTTCCTAAGTATCACTTAATCAAAATCAAAAGCACTAAACTAGCTAAATTATGTAGAAGAAATAGAGGAAAATTGGTCTCCCACGGAACCCACTACATTGAAATCTAATCATGCAAAGACAAAAATAATGATATTGCTGAAATGCATAAAAAGATTCCAATACGTTCTTCATCACCACAAGATCTATAATACATACACAAAAGCAAATTAAAAAGTGTCCTTAAAATTCAAAATGAAACATTACACGTGGTCTAATGAACAAATATTCACATAAATAATAACTCTAGTTATTTCTAACTCATGTGCACATATCTCAAGGTATATTCCAAACTCAACTGTAATGCATTAAGAATCATACAACTACCTCAAGAAGCATGTCACTATCTTGAGAAGCATACAACTATATCTAATAGCACCAACTATCTAGAAAAGCATGCCACTATTTTGAAATCGTACAACTTAATCATGTTTAAATGTCAAAAAATGTGTAAATGTGCCACATGAATTCATCGAAAAATGTAAAAGTGCGTTGTGCAAATGCGCTGAAAAACACACAAGTGCAATGTATAGGCCAACCGAAAAACACAAGTGCATCACACAAATTGATGTAGAACGATCATGCAAAGTTGAATTACTTGAAGAGTTTGCACGCTTAAGTGTTAGAAGCCATAATAATTATATCTTTATATCGATTTTAAACGACGCAATAAAAAATGAAAAGCGGTAAGACAAGCTTAGGCTAAACCACATGCATAGGAGTTAAGATCGTATGATAGCCAACTTAATCTAAAGTTGCATGCATGACTAGTTTTCAACAATAAACTCCAATGCTAATAATAAGATTAGTCACTAAGCAAGGGTCCCTCACTCAACTCTTTATCTTGCTAGGCTTTAGCGGATAAGACTAACACAATTCCAGTGAATCAATTAATTCCACAATTGGATGCAACTAGGAGAATAAAAGAATAAGGGAGAGAGTTCACCGAATCCTGGTTTGGGACTTGGAGCAGCACATAGAAGGTTTTCCCAAGCTGGCAATCGACTCTTGTGACTGAATTTTCTTTGGACAGGGATCTCAATCCTGTTTGGAGAAGTGGGGTGGCAGCGGGAGGACTTCTGGGCAGCAGAACAGCTGTTTCTGCTGCTGGAATTCTTCTGGACAGCAATTGAAGGATTGCCAGCAGCAAAACTGTTGATCTCCCTCAGCTGGAATTGATGGACAGCAGTTTTCAATGTCCCAAAATTCAGGACAGCAGATCAAACCCGTCCAGGAACCTTGATAGCAGCCTGGAGTGGAGGAATTCAGTGGTTTCCTCCTTCCTTAACCAAAATTTGGAAAGAAGTAAATTCAAGGGAAGAGGGGAGGGGGGGATGGCCACATGAAGGGGGCAAAGGTGTCTAGGTTCGATGTATGTGGGCCAAAGAATTATTTGAATTCAAATATTGGATTGAATTCAAATTAATAAACCTTCCTAATTGGGAGGATTATTTTAGGAAAGTATTTATGGGCTTAGAATTTTGAATTTCAAATTCTATGGGAGAGGGAGAGGTGGCCGGCGGCATGGGGGTGGAGATGGGGGCGGGCCGTGGTGGAGATGGTGGCTTTGGGAGGGGTGGCCGGCGACTGGGTAGGCCATGGCAGCCGACGGGTTGGGGGAAACAGGGGCTTGAGGTGGAGGAATTTGGGAGAGAATTGGGGTGTTGAGAATGGTCGGCGATGGAAGCTATGGAAGTAGACGAGTGGGGAGGGAATTCGATGCAAGAAGAAAAATAAAAGAAAAAGAAAGATAAGAGAACCGCGAACCTTGGAATCCACCAAAATTGACGGGTATTGCTTTTGCCCTAATTGGACCTCTCCTCTCACGAACTCACTAAGAGATCATCCAAAGAGAGAAAACCTAGAACTCACTAAGAGATCCATAAACATAAGATGAAAATTTCATATTAATCATCATTCCTCAATACAAGAAAGCTAGCCTATAAATAGGCCTCATGAAAAGAAAAATACAAAGACTAAAATGCCCTTTGGGCTACAACACCACTTGATCACTCCTAAGGGTAAAATGGAAAAAACATTAATAACTAGTACATAAGACATCAAAAATAAAATAAACTCTAGATCGCAACCGTTGATCTTCTAATGTCCTCATCACAAATACACTAAAAACATGCAACATACAATGTAAGCACACCAAATAAGTTCAAGTGCATCAAAAAAACGTGCAAGTGTGTCATGCAAATGCCCTGAGAAGTGTGTAAGTACACCATGCATCTGCAATGAAAAAGTAAAGTGCCAAAGTTAATATGTCTGCATGTGCTAATGTTCCCACTTGATTTATGAGAATGTTGTGAGGATGAGAAATAAAGTGAACTCAAATATAAATTGCCTTGAGAAGTGCATAACTACCCTAAAATGCATGCATTTTATTTTGAATCCTCATAACCTTTTTTTTTTTTTCAAAAAATCAATATCATCATATTATACACACTCTGAAGTGTGGGCTCCAAAAATTTGAGCTTTTGAGCCCCAACCTCTCCACATATATTTAGGAAGAGTTTTTACTATGTTTCAGGGGAAATTTTTGGAAGGAAGATTAGATAGAGATAAGACACTATCAAGAGTTATCGCCCTCTTAATGAGGACTTTAATATCTAAGTTAGGGTTTCCTATAAGCACAGTCCTTATAGTTAATTATCCTCTCGATAATGAGAGAGCACTTTCAATTAAGGCTAGTTGTTAAATATATACTTAGCATCTAGCATATAGTAGCAACAGTTTTTTTAAAATTAGATTTAATATTTAATATTTAATATTAAAAATTCATCACCTTGCACTTAAAGCAAATGGCGAGGGATAATGATGAACCAAATCAAGATCTCATGGTTTAGTCATCTCGGGTACTTCATCAAAGGATGTACTCGACCTACCGTGATCAAAGGATTCTTGTAGGTAATCATAGGTTGCTTCATACAAGGGTACTTTATAGACTTGGGATGATTGTTTGTCTAAGGGACAAATTCAAGTCAACCTTAGCTTATAGAGGGCTTTGTGCCCTATCGATTATTCCTTATAATTCATTACTCAATAAGAATTAGCTATTGGAGAACATATGGGCTTTTAGCCATAACCGTAATACATTGGAGTCGTTCGACCAAGCCACAAGGTTAGAGGGTCGCAACCATAATCATTTATCACGTGGAGTCGTCCTAACCAAGTTCTTTGTAGAGCCATCTAGCCAAGCCACCGATTAGAGGACCAGTCATAACGGTTTACCACGTAGAGTCGTCTAGCAAAACTACAGGTGTTGTGGATCCATCTGGTCAAGTCACTGATTAGAGGATAAATGCTAAATCCTTACTAGCAAGATATTATTTGAGAATGAATCTTAGTGATATTCAAGATTTTAGTATTCTCTCTTTATGAGCTAGAGTTATACTTAAGTTCATCACCCTCGCCAAATGGTTGTCGAGGGTGGATGAGATTTTATTTAAGTTAAAAGTGATTAATTTCAATTTTAAATTACAAATTTTTAATAAATCTTTAGCTTTAGAGTTTCAGTGAAATTTAGAAATTAACCCCTCCGATTAATATTATCTTTCAACACGGCCATCACTAGAGTTGACATTAATTTCATTTTAAAAGATTTGTATTTTATAGAAATTAAGAGGCATTTGAAAGAATAGAGGCCCCTCCAGTTGAGATTAACTTTAAACACAATCATCATCAGGGATTTAGGTAATTAGAATTTTAATTTTTCGAACATTGTCAACTCTGTTCACTCACTAAAAGAGGATCGAGCTCGATTGTTGACCTCGTGAGTTATCATAGAAATGTTAATAACCAAGAGTTTATATTTTATGATAAGTTTAATTTAAAGAGCCTTTAAAGACCTAATGTGAACTTTTGTTCACACAATAACACATTATTTGTGTTGACTCAACTTGAGACGAGTCAAACCTAATTTCATCAAATTGACTCGAACGAATTAAATTGAAATCAGATCGATTCAAACCTAAGCCCAATCAGGTGAAATCTAACTATGCTCGGGTCCAATTGCACTTAAAATAAGTCCAATTGAACTCAAATCAGCTCTCAAATCAAAAATTGAAATCAACGGCCAAAATTGTCTTGATTTTCCATCCATGCTACTGCTTTACACCAAATACCACGTATTTTCTACGCATCTAATTGACGACTAGCCTTAATCGAAAGTTCTCTCTCATTATCGGGAGGAGTAATTAACTATAAGAGCTTGTGTCTATAGAAAACCAGAACTCATACATAAAGTCCTCGCAAAATGAGGGCAAAATCTCTAGATAATGTCTTATTTCAAACCCAATCTGCCTTATGAAAATTTACCTCGGAATTTAATAGTTAAAACTCCCCCGAAAGCGGGTGAGGCCGGGGCACAAATTTTCGAAGCCCACAATCGAACACACATTTGCCATGTCTAACGTGTCCTAGCCGTTT